CGGTGGGCGGGCCAAACGGTGACACCGACCAATGGGAGCGCTCCCCGTGAGCCGGCCGAGCCTGCGCCCTGCGGGACCGGGAGCGGGCACCGGGAGCGGGACCGGGCGGCGACGGCGGTGGCGGCGGGAGGTAGGGCCGGGATGGGACGGGATGGGATGGGGAATGATGGGGAACGGGCAGGGAACCGGCTGTGGGGCCGGGGGACCGGTTGGAGGGCGGCGGGGGACCGGGCTGGGGCGGGCCCCGAGCCCCGGGATGGGAACGGGGATGGGGATGAAGATGAGGAGGAGGAGGATAGGGATTCAGGGACCCGCCATAGGGCCTGGGGGAAGCTATGGGGTTCGCCATAGGGCCTGGGGATAGGGGAGGGTGCGGGCAGCGGTGGGCTATGGGGCGGAGGAGCCGGCTATGGGGCGGAGGAGCCGGCTGTGGGGTGGAGGAATCGGCTGTGGGGTGGAGGAATCGGCTGTGGGGTGGAAGACCCGGCTATGGGGTGGAGGACCCGACTGTGGGGTGGAGGACCCTGCTATGGGGTGGAGGAACCGACTGTGGGGCAGAGAAGCCGTCTGTGGGTCAGAGGACCCCCCTTCTATGGGGCAAGGGACCCCTTCTATGGGGCAAAGGACCCGTCTGTGGGGCAAAGGAGCCATTCTATGGGGCTAAGGACCCGTCTGTGGGTTGGAAACCACCATCTGTGGGGTGGGGGGACCTGGCTATGGGGTCTGGGGAAATTAGGGGCTAAGGAGGCAGTTTGGGGGGGCAAAAGGGGGACAAGGGTGGAAATTAGGGGCTAAGGAGGCAGTTTGGGGGGGCAAAAGGGGGGACGAGGTGCCGTCCCAAGGGGGTGCGGACGTGCCAGGGGGCATGGAAACCCCCCCTGCCCGTGGGCAGGTCCTGCCTTCGCCTCCGGACACGTGGAGCAAAGGATTTTCCTCCGGAAAGGAGGTGGGGCTGGCTGGCTGCAACCCAGTGAGAGGTTGGGGTGCAGACCTGGAGGGGTTTTTTTGGGGGGGGGGATCCCCCTTGCCCCTTTTTTCTCCAGCTGGCATCGTCCCGTGGGTCGTCCCCTCCCCGTGACTGGAGGTTTGTTCCCTCTGCCCCGTCCCAACGCAGAGAAAACCGAGATAAAATAGGTCAGGAGGTGGGACGTGGCTCCCCGGGGCCACCCCAGCGGGTCCCGTGGCCAACAAGAGGACGCCCTTGAAGGTAGAGGGGGGGTTACGGGGGGGTCCCCACTCAGCCAGCGATGGGGAGGGGTTTGTATCCCCCAAGGTGTTCCCTGCACCCCCAGGATGGAGGGGTTTTGGGGGTGCAGGCACCCTCCTGCCTCACTCAGGGCTCCCTGTTAGATTTGGGGGGCTCCCTGTTAGATTTGGGGGGCTCCCTGTTAGATTTGGGGGGGTCCAAGATCTCTGGGTTCATCCTTTTTGAGCCTTTTTTTCCCCCGAGGGGTGATTCTCCCACCTCGTTTCTTCCCTAAAACGGCAATTCCAAGTTCAAACTGCTTCCTGCCTTTTTTTGTTTGCCAGCTGGGGAAAAGTTGAGGTCCGGGTTTTCCACCCTGGCTCTGCCCGGCTCTGCCCGGTTTTTTGGGGGGGGAGAAACCTGGGGAGGAGGGGGGGGAAGGTTATTTTTGGGCACTGGTGAGAGGCTGCATGCCTTGGCACGGGCTGGTGATAACGGGATGGCCGCCGGCGAGGCCAAGGGATGTGGGGGGACCACTCAACTGGAACGGGGAGGGGGAAAAGCAGCCAACGTGTCCCCGTCCTGGGATGTGGTGGCACTGCCTTTGGCCACCCTGGGCCGGTTGCCAGCCCCTGTGTTTACCCTGTGATAATCACTGGCCCACCCCAGATGGTCCCACGTGGGCCACCTGGGGCTAGTTGTTCCTCTTGGGGTGTTGAGAAGCCATCTGGAAGGGTGGGTTTGGGGAGGGGAGGAAGAGGAAGGTGCCCTGAGGGTTGCTGAAGAGCCAGAGGTTCCTTGAGGTTCTTCTAGTACCCCCCTACCCCGAGCAGGTGGAGCCCCTTTGGCACCCCCCCTGATTTGGGAGGAGAAGGGGTTAAAAGCAAAGCATCCCAGTTAAGCCCTGGCAGGAGGAAGCTAAAACCTCCAAGGCCTTTGCCTTTCCTGGAGAACAAAGCTCACAAAGTGGTGCTAAGCTTGTAAAACCTGCAGGAATGGGGGGGTCCTGGAGGGAGAAGGGGGGGTCCTGGAGGATGAACAGGGGTCCTGGAGGATGAACAGGGGTCCTAGAGGGGCAACGGGGTCCTGCCAGGCTTGGCCTGGGCCACCTCGGGCAGAACCATGCCTGGTAAACCCTGCTCAAGGTTATTTTCAGAACAATTAGTTGGCCGGGCTTCAAAAATGTCTTTTTTTTGGAAGAGACCGAAATCTGGAAGCCGTCAGCCACGGGATGAGGGGAAAGGGAGGGGGTGTGCCAGGGTGGTGGGTCCCGTGCCAGGGCTGGATGATGGAAACCCCATCCCCAACGGGGCAGGAACCGGGAAACCACGAAGGCAGCGAGCGTGTCCCCAAAACCACCGGGGGTGGGAAGGGGGGGACAACGGCTGCTGCTGGGTGCAGGGAGAGGGCAGCTAACGAGAATTCTTCTCTGTTTGTCTTTGCAAATTCCAAATTTGCCGTCCACCTTCGGGATGAAGCTTTTCCAGGAAGGCAGCCCGGGCCTTGCTCCAACCTCTTGGGTGCTGCCCAAGGTTGGACGTGCGGGTCGTGCTCCTCCTCCCTCCCACCCTGGCTCTGAACCCCTTTCCTTTGCACCCCACGCAGGCTGGTGGCTCCCCGTGCCCTCTGTCACCCCGCTTTTATCGATTCCTGGCCTACATGAAAGGAAGGGAAAAGGGCAAGGATTGATTCTAAGCAAATACTATAAAGGCATCTACAGTCGCTGGATGTTATTGTTATTACCGGGGTTAAAATATAACCTCAGGAAAAGGGGCCACCTCTTCTGGGCTCCTGTGTTTTCCCAACGCTGCTGTGTGTTGGCAGCTGTCCCCAAGGGGTGTGTGTCCCAGCCTTGGTGGCACCAGGGGGACCTGACGTGGCAGGGTTGGGGGGCTGGTGTGTGGCTTCTTTACCCTCTGGAGAGTCGAATCCAGCAGCCAGTGTTGGGATTCACCACACTGGGGTTTGCTGGTTGTGCTGTTGGTGGAGAAGCAGGATCCTCATCACAGCCCTTCCATCCTCCTGCCTGTTTTCCAACCTCTGGCTGCTCTTCCCCAGGGATCCCCAGGTGCTTGTGGAGCTGGAGAGCCCCCGGGAGCCGTGTCCTGGCACCCCTTGGCACAGGGCTGAGGTGAGTGGGGTCCTTGGTGGGTGGAGAAGAAGTGACTGATCTTGATTTTGCTCGTTGAAAAGATGTCGAATCCCCCCTCTTTGTGATCTGGGTGCTCTCAGCGCTGCACAAAGCTGTGTCCCCCCCAGGTTTGGGGCTCCCTGAAGATATCTGCCATCTCCTGATCACAGAATCTTCTAGGTTGGAAGGGACCTTAAAGATCATCTTGTCCAACCGTCAACCTAACTCTGACAAAAATAAACACCCACACAACAAACAAGGAGCATCATCACTAAACCAGACCTCCCAGCACCACATCAACCCGTCTTTTGAACACCTCCAGGGATGGGGCCTCAACCCCCTCCCTGGGCAGCCCATTCCAAGGGCTGAGAACCCTTTCAGTGACAAAATTTTTCCTAATATCCAGCCTGAACCTCCCCTGGGGCAACTTGAGGCCATTTCCTCTCGTCCTGTCGCCTGGGACTTGAGAAAAGAGACCGACCCCCATCTCTCTACCCCCTCCTTTCAGGGAGTTGGAGAGAGCAATAAGGTCTCCCCTCAGCCTCCTCTTCTCCAGGCTGAACACCCCCAGCTCCCTCAGCCTCTCCTCATCAGACTTATTCTCCAGACCCCTCACCAGCTTTGTCACCCTTCTCTGGACCCGCTCCAGCCCCTCAATGTCTTTTTTATGGTAGGGGGCCCAAAACTGGACACAGCACTCAAGGTGAGGAAGCTGTGGGGTGGAAGAGCGGTGATTGGAGCCACCAGGGATGCTAAAGCTGATGGCAACGTGTGGCTTTTTTTTTTTCCAGCATCCCTGAGACACCATGATTCCCAGCACAGTCCCCCGGGGCTGCTGCCTGTTCCTGCTGCTCTGCCTTCTTCCCTGCCCCCGGATCTGGGCAGGCAGGAATCCCAGGGCACCGGGGCTCTCGGCAGCCTCCTTCCTCCAGGATCTCCTCCAGCGATACGGCGAGAGCCAAACCCTCAGCCTGAAGCAGCTCAAGGTCCTGCTGAACCGCCTGGACGTGGGAGTGGGACACGCCAACATCTCCCAGGGGTCACAACAGAGGGTGAACCTCTCCCGGGTAAGGCTCTGGGGGGGCTCTGGGGACCCCCCAAATCCTCTTTGCAGAACTGTAGGGGTTGGGTCTCAAAGGCACGTGTCTTCTGTCTTTTCCCTTCCCCAGTGCTTCAGCTCCGTCGAGCTTTTTGCCATCCACAACTTGAGTGAGGGTTCTGCTGTGGGGCACAGAGAGTTCAAGGAGTTTTGCCCCACCATCCTGCAGCAGCTGGAGTCCAGGGCGTGCGCCTCCGAAAACCTGGAAAACGAGGAAAATGAGCAAACAGAGGAGAGCAGACCCAGTTCAGCCGAAGGTAAGCAAGGAACCGGGGGGGCATGAGCACTGGGCATGGAGTCTGGGGGGACATGAGGCACCCCAGGACCTGCAGAAGAGCTGCAGAGAGGAGAGGAGGCAGTCCTGGTGGGTTTTTCTCCATGTGGTTTGAGCTCACAGCGTGGCTTTGCCCCGATCTTGCAGGTCGGAGGGATAGCTGGATGATGGGGATCTTGCTGTGAATCCCTGTGGGTGGGAGGGGGTGGCTCCACGGGCCTCCAGGCAAATAAAATTCCAGGCTTCTGTGTCCTGACAATGCCCAAGGTCTTGGATCAGTTGCCCTGAGCACAGCACTGGCTTTTCCCACCCCACAAGGCCAGGGTTGGCTTGGAAAAACCTCTTCCAAGTAACCCACTGGCTTCTTTTCCACCTGCCCTGCAAGAAAAATGATGGTCAATGTCAGAGTTGAAGCATCCGGAGCAAAGGGAGATGCTCCAGCCCCAGCGTTGGGCTGTAGAGACCCTGAGCCAACCTTTTTCCACCTGCCCGGATCCGGGATGTTTTGGGGGGATCCCTCCCCAATCTCCCCGCGCCGAGAGCCTCGGTAATGTCTGGCCCTCGTTTCTTCTCGTTCCGCAGTGTGGGGCTTTGGTTTTCTCAGTGTGTCAATGATTAACGTGGCCTCCCTGCTCGGAGTCTTCATCGTGCCGTGTACCCAGAAAGCCTTTTTCAGCCGGGTCCTCACGTTTTTCATCGCCCTCTCCATCGGCACGCTGCTCTCTAACGCGCTCTTCCAGCTCATCCCAGAGGTGCGGTAGAAAAGTCCCTGCCTCTCTTCCCCATCTCCAAGGGCAGCTCTCTGGGCCTCCTCTTCTGCCTCCAACCCCTCACCAAATCGAACCGATCCCTCCATCACCCGAGGCTGAGGGCTTGTCTCAAAGGGGCTCCTCTGCAGGGCTTTTCTCACCTCCCCCTCTCCGAGCACCAGGAAACCCCCCGGAGCGTGCAGGCAACACGGGGAGGTCATGTCCTTCCAGCCCTGATGGTCCTTGCGAGGCTGCTGGCCAAGTTTGAGGTGTGGGAAGGCTCTGGGAGAAGCTGTTTGCTCCCACTCCATGGGCTGTTTCTGGGGATTTTCTCCCTCGGAGGGATGTGCTGCCCGGCTGTGATGCTGGATGGAAAATCCTGCGAGGCGGAGAAAATATAGAATCATAAAATCATAGAATTGCCCAGGCTGGAAGGGACCTCCAAAGGCCATCTAGTCCGACCCCCCCGCAGTCAGCAGGGACACCCCCAACTAGACCAGGTTGCCCAGGGCCTCGTCGAGCCTCTCCTTGAATATCTCCAGGGATGGGGCCTCAACCACCTCCCTGGGCAACCTGTCCCAGTGCTCCACCACCCTCCCAGTGAAGAACCCTCTCCTCATCTCCAGTCTAAATCTGTTCCCCTCCAGCTTGAAGCCATTGCCCCTCGTCCTGTCACTGCAGGCCTTTCTAAACAGGCTCTCCCCAGCCTTCCTGTAGGCCCCTTCAGGTACTGGAAGGCTGCTATTAGGTCTCCCCGGAGCCTCCTCTTCTCCAGGCTGAACAACCGTGTAAAACCACACAGAACAGCCCGGAGAAGCACCAGCTTCCTCCCCGTTTAGTCAGCTTTTACGAATGTTTTAATTGCCCTTTTTTTTCCGCCCGCCCCTCCTCTGGTTTATAAGACCAATGTTCTCGCAAGGATTTATTGCTTACTCCACCCCCCTCCTCTGGTTTACAACACCAATGTTCTCGCAAGGATTTATTGCTTACGTGAGGTTTCCTGGTGCTCTGATGGGCCCGACGGATACGTCGCAAATAATTAATTGTGTTGTAATTGTGCACTTCTGGAGTTGAATGAGTACAGCCACACTAATTGTGTTGTAATTGCACACTTCTGGAGTTGAATGAGTACAGCCACACGCTCTCAGATCGGACACCTCTGAAATATAGAATCATAGAATGGTTTGGGTGAGATCAGACACCTCTGAAATATAGAGTCATAGAATGGTTTGGGTTGGAAGGGACCTCAAAGATCATCGAGTTCCAACCCCCTGCCATGGGCAGGGCCACCTCCCACTAGAGCAGGTTGCTCAAGGCCACATCCAGCCTGGCCTTGAACACTTCCAGGGATGCTTCTGTCTCCCCACAAACTCTGCTTCCCAGAGCCCTTCCCCACCTCCTGGGGAGGAGACGAGCTGAATCCAAGCTCCTTAAAACTCTGCATTTAAGGTGTGACCTTCCCTCTGAGCAGAGCACCCTTTGCTGCCGCTGGGATTTACCCCTCGACGTTACCTGCTCCGTTCTCAGGCAGAAAATTCCTCCTACATGTTTTATCAAGGCTGTTTTTCAACTCCAGAACTGTGATTTTATTTTATTTATTTATTTGCCAAACATAAAAAAAACCAAGCGCCTCTATTTCCTGATCTGCCAGGAACCGAAATGCCTTACGTAGGCTCCATCCTCGCCGCCGGCCGGAGCATCCCAGTGTGATTTTTGGGGATGTGGCTGCATCTCTCTGGGCCGTGGGGTGAGGATGGAGCGTACGAGATGCTCGGGGGGGGTCCTTGGTGCTCGGTGGCACTGGAACGGCTGCCTGATGTCCTGCGGGGGCTCAGAGTAAAGCTGGGGTGCTGGTTCCGAAATGGCCTGGCTCCCAAAACTCAGCTCTGTCTAAAAAGAGAGAAAAGAGAGCTAAAAAGAGAGAAAAGAGAGCAAAAGAGAGCTAAAAAGAGAGAAAAGAGAGCTAAAAAGAGCTAAAATGGCTGCTTGCTCCAAATCTTCTCTGGGGTAAGCTCCGTGGTGGGGTGCTCCTCCGACCCTTCCCAAATTGCCGTTCCTAGAGCCCCTCAGCACCAGGTTCCTCCCTCTCAAACCAATGCCAGATGAACAAGCAATCACTAATTAATGTCCTCTTCTCTCCCCTCCCTCTCTCTCTTTCCCTCCCTCCTCTTGGTGTGGATTCCTTCCCTTCCCTCCCCTTCCCTACGTTGATCATCAACTTCCCCTCATCCCATTCCCCCCCCACCACCACCACCACCACCACCGCCCCGGGGTGGGTTTTTTTGGGGGCACCCACCGCAGTTTGGGGTTACGGGTTCCTCTGCGTCACCGTCATCTCCCTCTGCTCGCTGGTGGGAGCCAGCGTGGTGCCCTTCATGAAGAAGACCTTTTACAAGCGGCTGCTCCTCTACTTCATAGCTCTGGCGATTGGAACTCTCTACTCCAACGCCCTCTTCCAGCTCATCCCCGAGGTAGGATGAGGATGGGGTGGGGGGGTCTGTCCTTTTCTCTCTCTTGGGGGGCTGTTTTTCTCTCTCTTTGGGCTGGAGAAGGGGAAGGCAGCGTTGTAGGGGAGCTGAGATTGAGGTACAGAAGCTGGAAGCCCTCAGGATCATGGATGGAGCTGGTGTTTCACCCCTCTTTGGGAAGGGAATGGCTCCAGGGAGAGCTCTGCTCTGCTTCAAGCAGAGAAATCACAGAATCTTCCAGGTTGGAAGGGACCTTAAAAGATCATCTTGGCCAACCGTCAACCTAACTGACCAAAATGTTATTTTATTGCCCTTTCCAGCCCCGCGGGAAGGTCACCTTTCTGCCGAAAGAGGTTTTCTAAGCCTGCTTTTAGCATCCCTGCCCCACTGTGGGGTGGTGGATCCGATGCCCTGGGGGGCAGAGCCGGCTGGGCTGGGGGTGAGAAGGAGATTAAAGGTGCTCCAAGGCATTTTCTGAGCCTGCCCCCAAAGCAGCCGCTGCGTAGAGAGAGGTCAAAAAGTGGCAGCGTTGCCCCCGAGGTGCCAGGGTGAAGGCAGACGAAGGACATTGTCAGAGTCTGTCCTTCTGTCCTGTCACTTGTCCCCCTTTTTGCCTGCAGGCGTTTGGATTCAACCCTCAAGAAGATTATTACGTTTCCAAATCCGCCGTGGTGTTCGGGGGCTTCTACCTCTTCTTCTTCACGGAGAAGGTCTTGAAGATGCTCCTGAAGCAGAAGGACCAGGTGAGGCCGAGGAAGGGCTGAGTGGGTGGCAAATGACAGAAATGGCCAGGGTGGGTGACACCTCTGAATGTCCCCTCCCTGTCCTACAGCATCACCATGGGCACAGCCACTACGGCCCCGAGGCTCTGCCCTCCAAGAAGGACCAGGAGGATGGGGTCACCGAGAAGCTGCAGAACGGGGACCTGGACCACATGATCCCCCACATAACCAGCGAGCTGGAGTGCAAGACCCCCTCTGGGGATGAGAAGGTTGTGGTGGGATCCCTTTCCGTCCAGGTTAGTGCCTCCCTCCATGGGGTTATGGGGTGGGGATGTGCTAAAAAAAACCAGTCTGTTAATAAAAAAGGGCAGTTTTGAAGCCAATTGCACCTCCCTGATAAAATCCTCCGTGGGTGGTGGAAAGCAAATGTCTCAGGTCGAGCCTCATGTGGGTTTTTTGCATGTTGGGGTGGGTTCTCCTGGGTGGTGGAAGGAGAGGTGACCCCCCCCCATACTGCCAAGGTTATCTGGGTGCTGAGCCCCCGTTTTTGGGGTGCCGTGGCAGGATCTACAGGCCTCGCAGAGCGCGTGTTACTGGCTGAAGGAGGTGAGGTACTCGGACATCGGCACCCTGGCGTGGATGATCACCCTGAGTGATGGCCTCCACAACTTCATCGACGGCTTGGCCATTGGGGCCTCCTTCACCGTCTCTGTCTTCCAAGGGATCAGCACTTCGGTGGCCATCCTCTGCGAGGAGTTCCCCCACGAGCTGGGTACGTCAGTCCTTGGGGGGAAAAAAGATGCCACAAAAGCTCTGGGATCTTGCTCTCTCCAACTCCCTGAAAGGAGGGTGTAGAGAGATGGGGGTCGGTCTCTTTTCTCAAGTCACAGGCGACAGGACGAGAGGAAATGGCCTCAAGTTGCACCAGGGGAGGTTCAGGCTGGATATTAGGAACAATTTTTTCCCTGAAAGGGTTCTCAGCCCTTGGAATGGGCTGCCCAGGGAGGTGGTTGAGGCCCCATCCCTGGAGGTGTTCAAAAGACGGGTTGATGTGGTGCTGGGAGGTCTGGTTTAGTGATGATGCTCCTTGTTTGTTGTGTGGGTGTCTATTTTTGTCAGTCGGGTTGACGGTTGGACAAGATGATCTTTAAGGTCCCTTCCAACCTAGAAGATTCTGTGATTCTGTGATCTGCCCCCTCTTTAAGGCTAAACCTGCCGGGTCCCGCTCGTTATTTCTCGAGAGAAAAAGGTGATTTTTTTGGGGGGGGGAATAAACAGAGTAATGATGGGTTGACGTGGTCCTCAGGAATATGGTTTAGTGGGTTTTTTTAATTGCTTATTTCTTATTTATTTTTTTTGGTCAGAGTTAGGTTGATGGTTGGACTAGATGATCTTTAAGGTCCCTTCCAACCTAGACAATTCTATGATTCTGTGATGGAAAGGGAAAGGCGAGGCTGTAAACTGCACTGAGTAATCGCCGCTCTAAAAATAACGAGGTAATATGATGTCTGAGATTTAAATTTAGATGGAGGCATCTGAAGAAAAATAAAAAGCAACCCAACAGCTCCTTGGTTTGGGAGGGGGGAGGCGGGCAGCGGTTTGGGTTTAAATGTCCACATTTATGCACAGGCAGGGCCAAGAGCTGGCAGGGAGGGGCTGGTGTGGCTAGTGCTTGGCGCCAGTGGCCACGGGGAGCCCACACTTGACCTCGGGCAAAAGCAGGGGATGGGTATGAGCACCTTGGGGCTGTGCCCATTCTTCAGCCTCCTCCCTCTTCATCCTCCTCCCTCTTCATCCTCGTGGTCCTCTTCTCCCACAGGGGACTTTGTCATCCTGCTGAACGCCGGGATGACCATCCGCCAAGCCCTCTTCTTCAACTTCATCTCTGCCTGCTGCTGCTACGTGGGCTTGGCTTTTGGGATTGTGGCTGGGAGCCACTTCTCTGCCAACTGGATCTTCCTCCTCCCTCTTCATCCTCCCCGTCCTCTTCTCCCGCAGGGGACTTTGTCATCCTGCTGAACGCCGGGATGACCATCCGCCAAGCCCTCTTCTTCAACTTCATCTCTGCCTGCTGCTGCTACGTGGGCTTGGCTTTTGGGATTGTGGCTGGGAGCCACTTCTCTGCCAACTGGATCTTCGCTCTGGCCGGAGGGATGTTTCTCTACATCGCGCTGGCCGACATGGTAAATGCTGAGCCTTGGGAGGGGCTACTGGGGTGTATAGTTGGGACTTTGTTAGGGGTTTTTTGGCCTGGAGGAAGAGCCCGGGGGCAAGTCAGGCGTGGAGAGCACAGGGGAGTGTTTGCTCTGTCCCCCTGACCAACGAAGATGTTGTCTGTAGTGTCCTGTGTTCGTCTTTGCTTTGCCTGGGATGGTGACCTGGCTGAGAGCCCTGGGATGGGTGGCAAATACTTGCCAGGATGGGTTTGCAGGCTGAGAGTTGGAGGGGTTCAACCTGGAGAAGAGAAGGCTCCATGAAGACCTCAGAGCCCCTTCCAGTCCCTCAAGGGGCTCCAGGAAAGCTGGGGAGGGACTCGTGATGAGGGAGGGGACAAGGGGGAAGAGTTTGACCCTGGAAGAGGGGAGATGGAGCTGAGATGTGGGGAAGAACTTCTTTGGTGGAGGGTGGTGAGAGCCTGGCCCAGGTTGCCCCAAGAAGCTGTGGCTGCCCCATCCCTGGAGGGGTTGAAGGGCAGGTTGGAGGGGGCTTGGAGCAACCTGGGCTGGTGGGAGGTGTCCCTGCCCAGGGAAAGGGTTTGGAATGAGATGGTCTTTAAGGTCCCTTCCAACCCAAACCCCTCTGTGAAGGTGCTGCTGTGTCTCCTGCAGCGTGTCTGGGCTCAAGGCAGTGCCAGGGGCTGAGATGTGCTCCTGCTTGTGGTGCTGCTGGAGCTGATGTTTGGGATGGGACCAGGCTGGCAGGAGATGGGGTGATCCCTGGGTGCTGCAGCACAGGGTGGGGGGGCTCTGTGGGCTGCTGCCAGGTCTGGGGGACTTCTTACAAGGGCAGGTAGTGATAGGATGAGGGGTGATGGCTTCAACGAGGAGGGGAGATTGAGATATTGGGAGGAAACTCTTTGGTGGGAGGGTGGTGAGAGCCTGGCCCAGGTTGCCCCAAGAAGCTGTGGCTGCTCCATCTCTGGAGGGGTTCAAGGGCAGGTTGGAGGGGGCTTGGAGCAACCTGGGCTGGTGGGAGGTGTCCCTGCCCATGGAAAGGGTTTGGAATGAGATGGTCTTTAAGGTCTCTTCCAACCCAAGCCATTTCATGACTCTGTGATGACATGGGGTGGGAAGCAGCAGGCAGGGCTGGGAAGGATGAAGCCAGTCTGGTCACTGAGCCCCGATTTCACACTCTCTTCCCTTGCAGTTCCCCGAAATGAACGAGGTGAGCCGGGAGGACGAGCAGAACGGCAGCGCCCTCATCACCTTCGCCATCCAGAACGCGGGGCTGCTGACGGGCTTCACCATCATGGTGCTGCTCACCATGTACTCTGGCCAGATCCAGATCGGGTAGGACCAGCCCGACTCACAGCCCTGGACCAGTTTTTCCAGGGGTTTGGGGTTTTATTTTTTTTTGGGGGGGAAGGGGTTTTGTTTTGTTTTTGTTTTTTTTTTAATTTCCTTTTCCTGCTGCAAAGCAAACGACGGTACCTTGTGCGGGCACTGACTTCACAGTACAGAAGAAGAGGCATTTGTTTTTAAAGCTGTTCCACAGACTTCATTTTCTTTTGGTTGAAGGCTGAGGGGGAGCTTCATCCCCTGTTGCTGTGGGACCTGAACTGACCAGAGAATCTTTTCCCAGTGTCATATCCCTTCTCTCCTCATGTCTCCTGGGAAGGACGGAGTTGGGAGATGGGAACTCCTCTCGCTGTGTTGCCTCCCCTCCCTTTTGATGGGATGTGACGCTCTCCTCACCCCTTTTCGGGGGGTTTGTGACGGGGACAGACTGGGACAGACCCTTCTCGGAGTTACCCTCGGGCTGCTGAGGAAGAGGAGGCTCGAGGAGCCACAGCTCATGATTCCAGCATCATCCTTGCTGTCTTCAGAAGTGTTTCTCCGGAGCCACCACTGGTTTTGCTCCCTTTCTGCCTCGGCAGCCCAGACGATGCCCTGGGAAGTGCAGGGTGAAGAGAATTCGATTTATTTTTAATTTTAAAGCACATTCTGGGCGTCGGCGCTCGGAGCAGAGGACACCAAACCGCACCTCGTGTGGTCGGACTGATGCGTGAGGATGCCCTCACCTCCCTTAATTCCCTGTTGCTGTATAGAGGGGTTAAAAAAAACCCCTTTTCCTTCTGTGAGGGCAGCTGTGGGGTGATGCTGGTGAGAAGGGCCCAAGGACAGAGCCAGGATGGCAAATTTCTGCCCAGCCACAGGCTCCCCAGCCTGGGAATCGGTCCTTACACTGTGACCAAGCTCACGTCGACACCTGGGGACAGACACCGGTTTTTAAAACACTGATGCTGCTGAGTTGCTGAGGTTCAGGGTGGGGTGGGGGGCTATTTTTAAGAAAAAGAAGAAAAAAGAAAAAAAAAAAAAAAATTTAGGTTGTGTGTTCCCAGCCTTAGGGAGTAGCCAGAGAAAGGGTGTGATGAGGCACTTCACAGCTCTGCTTCTGGGCTGGCTTTCCCCAGATTCACTAGGTGAATTGACTAATTATCATATTGATAATGTTGCCCACCCCACCCGTGTCGCTTGAGGTTCCCCCTGTTGTCCCCCCTCGTCCACCCCCAAACCTTATCCTGCCCCTGGTAGCAGTGAGTTTGTGGCCACACTGATTTTAGGTGACTTATACCCTCGTGGGTATGACACTGGATGGGGATGAAGGTGCTTTGAGAAGTGCTTTGGTGGACGTGCCAGGGGTGGCTTGTCACAGAGCATCCTCCTGTGCCCGTGTGGGTGGCCACGGGTGTGTGTGACAGGGTGACAGCCATCCTGCCACCTCAGGGGCTGGAGCTGGGGCTTCCACACCTTCCTTTCCACCCCCGGTTGGAGGATGTGCTGGCATCATTTTCTGGCCCATCCAAGAGAGATGGGAGACCTCAGCCCTTGGCAGGCTCAGTGCCATCCCTGGATTGATCCCTGGTTGCCAGCACCTCACTGCAGTTCCTCATTTGCCTTAGGTACCAGCTGGATGATGTTCCTCTCAGTTGTCCCCAAGTCTGTAGGTCTCTGCCCTCTGTTGAGATGTGGCACTGCCCAGTATCCTCCTGGATCGGCACCTCTGCTCTTGGTGGCTTTGACTTTTGTCCCCTCGGCACCCAGGAGGCTGTTGGCTTTGTTCTGCACCCAGAAGGTTAAAATACCAGCGTGCCGAGGAGCAGGGAGCCTTTTTGGGGAGCATCCTTCAACCCAGAGGTCCCACTCGGTCCTTGGGTGATGCCTTCAAGGAGAGATGGGGTTTGCTTTATCCCGTGCAGCGTCTCTTGGCCACGTGGATGGTCACCATAAGTCACTCCTCCCTCTGCAGCTGGTCTGTGGGACGCAGCCACCTTCAAGCAACGTGGTCTGTCCCAGCGTGGTCACCTCGTGGTGGTTCCCCATCCTTTGGGTTGCTACTACTTTTCAGCAGTCGGGAGGAAAGTGGTATTGGAAACTCTCTTTCCCTGCTCCAGAGAGCTGACCCATTTGATGTGGAAAAACTGAGTCCTTTGAATGGTGTATGTGCCCTCTCTTTTTTTTTTTTTTTTTTTTTTTTCCTTCCTCTCTCAAGGAAGTATTTGGAAAACACCGTATCGCTGGCACCTTTCCACGGGGCAGAGGGCAGCCACGGCACTGCCAGGGCTGAGTCCTGGCTGGCAGGAGCCCTGCAGAGATGGAAAAGCCATTGTGCTGGAGGTGAAGGAAAGGGGAGAAATCTTCTTGTCCATGCCCTGGGGACAGGGAGGAGGTTGCAGACTGTGCCTGGGAGGTCCCCAAGGGTTGGAAAGGTGGCAAAGATGATGCTTGGCTTCCTCGGAGCCGATGCGGGTCCCTCGGGGATCCTGAGTCCGTCGTCTTCTCGTTTCAACTTTAATCCTGTTTCTTATCGACTTGAGTCAAATACTAAGAAATCTGCAGCTCTCTGATTTGGGGTGAAACCCCTTGGAAAAACAAGGCTCCTCGCAGAGAGGGACCATCTCTGGCTCGGGCTGGTACCCGCCGTCAGGGAAGGGATGGGGCAGGCAGGAGGACGAGGAGGGAAAACGACCCAAATCGAGCTTGTTTTTGGATTTTTATTTGGGTTTGGTTTTTTTTTTTTTCATCTGTGTTTCCCTTCCCGTGTCCAGGTCGAAGCTCAAGTTCCATCTCAGTATTTCAATAACTCAGGTGTTGTACGAGATACGCGTTGAAACAAAGAACATAACTTATGTCACGTGAATTGTAAAGTTATTTGTAAAATTCCATAAATAAAATATATTCTGTAATGACGGAGGGTTGCAAGCGTGCTCTAGTGACGGGAACCTCCCCCTGGGCTGGGGTGGGAATCGTTGCTGGTTCCAAGGATTTATTTTTTTTCCAAGGGGAAGGGTTTGAGCCAGGCTGGAAGGGCTGGGTGATGCAATCCTGCTTTTCCAGCCCCAATTTCCAGGGCTGTGCAGTGCGGCGCGGCCGACGGAAGATGGCACTGACATATCCCCCCCCCCAGCCTCTTACCGCCTGCCGGCGTGGCACGGCGCTCCAGGAATCGCCTTTAGAGTCTAAAAGCCTTTTTTAATTTCATTTTTTTAATTTTTTTTTTTTTTAAATCTATTTCCAAGGGTTGACGTGAGGCTGAGGTTTCGGAGCAGGTCGGTGGGATGTTTTATTCCTCTCCAGCTCACACGAGGGAGCCTGACTGGGAGCAGCGTTATTTCTGTCCTTGCTTCTCCACCCTGCACTAGGAGAAGGGGGGGAAAAAAACCCCAACACAAACAAAAAACCAAATAAACCAAAAAAGCAGCATGCTTTGCTTTTCTACTTCACTTTTTTTTTTTTTGTCTTTTTATATACCGTTACCCTCAAGCTGCCAGCTCTGAGCGGCAAGCACAATTTTTAGCAACCCCGCTGCAGCTAAAGAAAACAAAGCTTGAAATTCTGTGGCGGTTTTTAAAAAGCAATGCTATTCTAAGGAAGAGAGGTTGCAGCACACATCTGATTTGCTCTCTCGCCTCCTCGGGGCTTCCAGAGGGGCTGTCAGGCAGCAGCCCTCCTGGCCTATACCTCAAGGCTTCAAGTGGGCTGGGTTTTTTTCTGCAAAATCCTCCAGATTTGATGAATGCCTGCAGCCTCGATGACCCACCTCAGCAGAGAAATTAAACCCAGTGAGCCACGCTGGCTGGGCTCACCCTCGGCCCTCAAACTCAAGCCCTTTTTGCTATTTCAGGTATTTTATACCTTTATCCCGGCCGCTTGAGTTTCTGTCTCCCTTCTCATTGGCTGAGAAGTTGGAGCTCACGTTCTTCCCGACCGCTTGACCTATTACAGGTTTATTTTGCACTTTTTCCCATATAAGGCACACATGCACCTATTCTACGAAATTATTATCCTAAACACGCCTTTGATTAGTTGATTAAGCTACACGTTATTTCAGAGTCTTTGCTACCATCTACTTGGCAGATTTACCAGACTGGTTTCTTTGGCCTTATTGATACTCCCCTCCCCTCTGGGTTTTTGTGTTGAAGTCCGTGTTCTAGTCAGTTTCTCTTCACCTAGATAATGCTCTGCAAACAAGGATCCTTTGACAGACCGAGGACGTTTCTGGGGATTAATTGGATGCAATTTATTAGACTCTACTATTACTAAGGCTTCTTTGTTAGTATTATCACACTAACAATGATACATCAATTAGCTGAAGCCAAACTTAGCTTATTTCCCACAACCATCCCTGGAGGTATTTAAGAAACGTATAGACATGGCTCTTCAGGGCAAGCTCTAGTGCCCAAGGTTATTGGTTTATGGCGAGGTTGTTATAGTTAAAATAAAAAACTAAGTCCGAAATAGATTCACTAAATATTTATTAAGGTAGGAAAGCAAAAGCAGCGCTGGGCGGCCGGGGAGTCGCAGCTCCACCAAGGCTCGCAAATTCAAGCAAGCTGAATAGCTCTTTTTATCCTCACGGAGGTCGGGTTCGACACCTTCAGTACGCCCCTCTGCTTCTTCCCTTATCTTTACTCCATCTGGTCTGTCTTGCTTCAAGGCGGTTTCAAGATGATGTCGGCTGTAAATTAGTTCATACCCTTCCCCTTCTACCTGATTAATTAGTACAGAGTTAAAACACGGATAACATTGGGGTTAAGCTTATCTTGTCAAGACAGGACATTCTCATATGGTTTAGCAATATAACATTGTGGACGTCTCTTCTTGTTAGGGAGTTCTCAAGACTGCCACAATGGGCTCGTTCTTCTTGCTTAAATTGTTTGGTCAGTAAATTACAATCCAACTTTAGGCGAGTTTTACAAGTGGTGGTGGCATAATCAGCTTGTGCCATCTCTTACATGGATTTGGTTAGTACCAGGATAAACATTCACTTACATAGACACATTTTGATAGCATTGCAGTTTGTGTAAGTCAGGACTTCCTTACACTGTGTATAACAGAAAAGGATAATCCTAAGATTTGATCAGCAACAAATCTTCAGTTATTCATTACAAGGTGTTGAGTGTGGGGTTTAGTTGGTGGGTGCGGTGTTTTTGGTGGGTGTTTGGTGTGGGTTTTTTTTGTTGTTGTTGTTGTTGGGTTTTTTGGGTTTTTTTTGTTTTTTTGTGGTTGGGCTCGATGATCTCCGGATCACTTGATTGATCTTGAATGATCACCATAAGAGTGGTCGGGCATTGGAACAGGCTGCCCAGGGAGGGGGTGGAGTCCCCATCCCTGGCTGTGTTTAAGGGCCGTTTAGATGCAGTGCTGAGGGACATGGTGTAGGGGAGGACTTTGTAGAGTAGGGGAGATGGTTGGACTCGATGATCCCAAGGGTCTCTTCCAACCTAGACGATTCTATGATTCTATGATCTCAGAGGTCCCTTCCAACCACTAAGATTCTGTGATTCTGTGATTTGGACTAGC